ACCGAGCAGGGATCAGTGGGGAGGGGTGCAATTATTTATGTTTTGTCTTGTTTTTATTTTTATTTGAAACACACTCTAATGTTTGTTCCTTGTCAGATTGTGTCCATCCTGGCTGCATCATCACAGGTCTCTCCTTTTTTCTTGGAATTAGCAGATGTCAGTGGGCTCAGGCTTAAAACTCTGGGACATTGTGTGTTTTCATGGGGAGTGTATCAATGCAAATAAAGCACTCACACTATGTTAATCTAGATAAGTGGGGAAGCAGACAATGTGTCTATTTAAGTATTTGATCTGTAAGAACAAGTTAAGTCTGTTAAGCTTTACACCCAGCATCTCCTGGTGGTGTTTGGTGGTGGATAATTTTGTACCACGGTGACATGGATAAGGCTGAGTTGTGCCAGGTGATGCACAGAGGCAATTGAGCAAATTGCTTCTGTTTTCCTTGAAAACTCTATTGAAAAATATCCCACTGAATTTAACACTCTGGAATTATTTTACTGCTCAGGTTTCATTTACACTCTCCAGTTGTGAATCAGTGCCCCACTCTTAGACCATTAAAAGATAAATGCTGAGCAAAAACTAATCCAAAACCTACAGCTAACAAAAAAAAACCACCAAACCAACAAACCCATGGTTTCAATCTGAAGGTCTGTCACTCTGTGTAGGAATTTCTGATTTATCTGTACTGGAATGGAATTGAGCTAAGGATAGCTGGATTTTAGAAGGATGGCAATAAATGCATCTTTAAATGGCTAATTATAGACTATAATAATAACTATACCATGGCCATAAACTGCAGTACTTGTGTATTTATTAGGCACTGCTAAAGCACAGATGTTCCAATTTGTGTTAACCTTTCACTGGTTTTTGCCAGTATACCAAAATGAGATAAATTTGTCATGTTTCAGCTAACTTTTGTATTTGTTCTTTTATTTGTAGCACAAAGGTGCTCATAAAGTTAAGGAAGAGAAAGAAAAAAATTTGCTTTTTTTCACTGATCTTGCTACCTGATAGCAGCAAGAAGTCATATCTTGGCCCTCTAGGAGGTGGTTTGGGTCATCATCTTTCAAAATAAAAAAGATTTTTAATTTTAAATTATGGTATGCTCACATATAGTACTGTGGTGTCCTGGTTTGGGCTGGTATAGAGTTAATTTTCTTCTATTCCCTGAAGCAAAAAAAAAAAAAAAAACAAACCAAAAACTGAATCACACCTCTGGAGACAAAGACTGAAGATGGGTTTGGTTGGGTTTCTGTGCTTAGCTGTGGCTTTCTGAAGGAGGTAATGGCAGCAGCAGTGTTAAATGTTGTCCCTGTCCCACAGCAGTGCAGGGGGTGAGCTGGAGCATGGAGGGACCTGGCTGGAATAAAAAGGTACATGATAAATGTGGTCTCACAGAGATTCCTTGTGGCACATCTCAGGGCATGACATAGGGTTGGAGTCAACAGGAAGATGGGAAGAACCAAAGGGAGGGTAGTAAATGCCTTCTGGTGTTCCAGCAGCAGCCTCAACTCCTTGGGAAGGAAATTTAAATTACTGTCCTCTAGGGAGGTGGAAATTATAAGACACATCCTCTGATATTGTGGACAGCCTTGCCATGAACCCTTTGATTCCAGGCAGCCTACAAACAAGAGAGGCTTTGGGGTGAAAGCTTCTTCCCAAGCTGCATTCAAGGCTTTGGGGCCCAAAACCAGTATCATTTAAATAAATAAATAAATAAATATTTATATACATATATATATATTTAAATAAATATATATATACTATATATTTAAATAAATATATATATATGCATATATATACATAAAAATTATTGAGGGTTAGAATTATGTTTAAACAATAATCTGTTTTGTAAAACATTTCCCCATCTTTTGGTTGGGTTTTCTTTTTATTTTTTATAGGAAGTACTGTTCCTTAGAGCTGTGGCAGCAGCATTCATATACCAGAGAAATCCCTTTTTGCTTGGGATGTTTGGTTTTGCTCTGTCTTTGCATTTTCTTTCATGTGGTGCTTGTTTGTGCACAGTACCTCAATAATGCATTGCAGCTAGGAGGTACAGCTTAATATTCAGCCCTCCTTCCCTGGGGAATAGATGTGTGAGGAAGGCTTTTCTTTCAGCAGGCTCTTTGATGTTCTCTGTGTGTGTGTGTGTATGTGTGGTCATGTTTATAACTTGTGTAAATGCCTGGCACGATGGACACTGAAGCCAAGAGCAAAGAAACAGAACATAAATTTCAGTATCTCAAACCTTATCAGGCCCTGCTCAGAATTGTTTTTTGATGGAAGCCAAAAATTTCAAATTGGGTGCAAGTGACCAAAGTTTGAATTTATATATAAACATGAAATGGAATAAGACCAAATATTTAGGAGTCTGTAGAGTGTTTTAAGCAACTAATCAGTGGACATCCAGTTTCAATAAAACATTAATTTAGTAGAGGCCAAAATATGGCTCTTGCTTAAATGGGTGAAAGAGGCAGAAAGAGAAAATGATTAATTTTCGAGGATGGTACTGAATGCCTAAATAGGATTTTCAAGCAGTGGGATCACAATAAATTGTTACATGGCTTTTAAACCCTAGGCTGAAGTGCCTGGGGCATTTTTAAATCCTTTGAAGCTACAATGGGATTTTTTTTCTTTCTGAGCTACATCTGTGTGTTTTTAAGGTTCCAGAGAAGTTCTTACCAAATGTACTCAGAGTGTCAACACGGTTCTTGTATTTTTAAAAGCCCACACTAAATTTAGCGCTAAGTTGATGCTTCTTGGCAGGCCCAAAGGGTGAGCTGGGGCCAGGCAGGAGAGGTGGAGCTCCTCTCATCTGAGGTATTTCTTACCAGTCACGATGGGCTGCAGCTTTGTAGGGTAGCAGATTTCATGGCCAAATCAGGAGTAAATCTGCATTTTGGCTTCTTGCACGTGTTGGCCAGAAACATCAGTTTAGTGTTTGTTATTGCATCCCATAGGCAGAAAAGTGCCTCCAGTCCAAGGCTCAGTTACAGCACAGTTTTTTGTGAAGACCACGGCCAGCAGGAGTTCACAGTGCTGCAGCTGAGCTGCTTGGGTGGGGATTTCTCACAGGGAAGAGAGAAATCCTGTGCTCCTCATGAACAGGACAAGCTCAGAGGCGCTGAGCTGTCCTCTGGTCAATCTCTGAGCTGTGCACAGGACCTGGGGTGGGATGGAGGGGAGAAGGAGGCACTGCCTTGCCTGTGACACCCCTGACCATAACCCTGAGCCCCCTGCAACCCAGACAGAGTGAGCACAGCCACAGCTGGGCTCCAAAGGCTCAATGAAGCCCTTCCTCCTGTCCTGCAGGTTTGCCAAGACCTCCAGTTCTATTTCAGTTTGAATAGAAACATTGGAGAATGGAAAAAAAGCAAACCTGCACTGTACAGCTCCTGAAAGGACCATGCTGACTCAGAATAGGATTCAATCCCAGCCTTCTTTTATTAGGGCTTTGTTTATTTAATAAATGTACAAGTGAAACTTGAAGGAGTTGACACAGGCATTTTAAGTGTACTCTTTGCACTTGTTAGGAGTATTCCTGTTTTCCTCTCTGCCAGGACAGTGTCCCTGTTTTCCTCACTGCCAGGACAAGCAGTGCCTGTGTTCTCCCTCTTGGCTTCCAGGTACCTGGTAGGGCTTTACTTAATTTGGTGTTTGCCTTTCGAGGGATTTTTCTTCTTTCTGTAAGAAATGAAATCCAGCAGGGAGCTATTATGATATTCAAAGACCAGGTAGAGCTACCACACACTAAAGTGAGGGACACTTGATGCAGACATGGAATTTTAGTCTGTTGGCCAATACCATTGATTTCCCATACTGGATGGGAATCCTGGAGTTATTAACCATTTCAAATCTGCTGCCAAAGAGTATATAGGACATTTTCATATATTTTATTCACTTTCTGTGTGTTCACTGCTGCAGGGTTTGGGGGTCACTTGTGGCTCAGGCACCAGCCCTGCTCCAGAGGTTCTGGAGCTCAGTCCCTGAGAGAGGCACTGCTGCTGCTTCTCTGATGGATTTGGGATGAGTCTTGAGCAATGAGATGCTAGAAATGAGGGTTTGGCTTTTGTCAGAAACTAAACAACCCCAAAATTATAGCTTGCTCGGAAGCTTGTGGCTGAACAAAGTGCTGGCTCACAGGCTTTCCCCTATAGTTTAAAAAAAGTAAGGAAAAGAAGAATATCATTTATCTTCATGCTGTTCATAAAACAGAATTAAATTTTAGGCAGCCTCTGGAAATGAAAATTTCTTAATCTTCTCTAAACATTCTTGTTTCCTCTTATCTCAATAACAATTTATTGTGGGTGCACCCAGAGAATCAGAATATTATACATATATAATATTCAGTAGTCATTCTTCTGTCAAGCAAGAAAACCCAACTGGATTTATGCAAGCAGAGAAAAAAATCCCAAAACTGTTGAAAGCATGAGCCTAATGAGGCCTCCACTAGAGCATAAAAGCTGTGCACTGATAGGGGCTTGGAAGTCAGTACGTTTTCATATTTTTGTTAAATTTATCTGATCCTTTTGACCCCTCTGCCCTGTGATGTATCCAGAATTGTTACATAGCTTCAAGCCATTTGTATCCCTAGAGTTTCATCCCTGACACAGGCAGCAGTGCAGCTGATTTTTATTTTTTTTTTTTTTTTTTGCTCCTTTAATGATGTGAAACACGTCTTGTATGTGAATCATCTGTTACTTGCCAACGACCGGGGATGTGGAGAGCGATGGTGCCCATCCTTTTCATCATCTCAGAATTCCCAGTGCCCTGGTACCTCCTCGATGGCAAAAGGACGAGCTGATTTGCAGGATTTGGAAATCTGTGGTCCTAAAGATCCTCCCCACCTTTATTAAGCATCCCTGTCCAGCAAGGGGGTCTGTGCAGGCAGGAGCAGAATGGTTAAAGCGCCCCAGTGTCGGATGGAGTTGCTCCCACTTGGGCTTGTTTACCTTGGCTGCTCATGATATTCTCGCTACGTTCCTCACGGAAGATTCCATTTTTTTCCCCGCAAGAGGGATGAGCTGGTGTGTGAAAGGAGCAGAAATCAGCCGTTCTGCTCGTGGCTGCTCCGTGCCAGGGTCCCGATGAGCGCGGCTGCTCGGGCTGGGGGGAGATGTGTGCGCGGCGCCCGGCGCACACGGGCATTTGCATTTCAAATCGGCTGAGTCAACACAATGTAATGGTCCTGCCTGCAGGTCCTTAGAGAGCCACAGTAGCTGACAATGTGTGCTTAAAGGGAGGGTCTGCTTTTCTTCGTCTTCTTTTTTTTTTTTTTAATTTTTTTTTTTTTTTAAGCCGGTTTCCATAGCCAATAGTACCGTTCCAGGCGCCTGCACCGGAGCTGTTTAGCAGATGATTACCCCGTCACGGCGGCCGCGATTTTGTTTTATTTTATAAACACCGTTCATCTGGACGGGAAAAAAAGAAACCAAAAAACCAAAACAAACCCCAAAACCGAACAACAACCCGCCGCCAAAACTGGCAACGCTTCAGAGAGGAGAAGCTGCCGAAGTGTTCGTGCCTGTGCTGCCACTGATGCGAGCAGCTGTTCCCATCTGCAGTGCAGCACCGCAGCCTCCACAGAGCCGGAGCTGCCGGGGCTGCTCGCCGGGGGGATTCCGCAGGAAGCCGGCCTTGCTGTCGCCTAGCCCCGAGCCCAGGGCACGCTGAGGATGGGAGGCTCGCAGTCCCTGCAGCAGGCACAGCCAGGTGGCCTGGTCCGGGAGCCGTCTGAGGCCATGTAAGTGCGGGTGCCGTGCGGCGCCCGGGCTGGGCGCTGCCGTGGGGGTGTCTGAGGCCTTTGTTCGGCGGGGTGTGGGCTCCGTGCCGCTGCCGGGGCACCCCGCTCCGTGTGTGCCTGCCACTGTGCGTTCTGTCTGTCCGTGTTTCGGGTGCCTGCTCCGTCAAACACAATGAGCATGGCCAGCCAACAAAACCCCGGCCCCTTCCCCGTTCCCGAGCCCACCGCCACCTCGGTGTTGGCGGTTTAAAACGCCCAGCGTGGGGCTCCGTTTCACGGGGCTTTTTTCAGGGCTTCTCTCTGCACGGATGCTGTGTTTTCAGCATCAGCCTTGTCACATCCATCCCTGCCATGCTGTTAGATCTTCTGTGGAGCATAGGCAAGGTGTCCTTAGTTGTCTCCTCGCTGAAGGCCGGCTCGGAAAGATTTGCTGCGGGAGGGAGGAAAAAGGAGGCAATTTGTGCTTGTTCAGAGCGAGTTAGGTGCTTTTCTGGGTGGCTAAATCACATATAAAAGTGCAGAAATGTGCATGTGCATGCAGGAGTAGCAGCATCGTTTCCCATTTGTAAATAGGATTTTGTAGTTTATTGGTAGAGGATTTGGCAGTTTACTTAGCCAACAGTCTTTTCTCCTTAACCCTGCACCCCGGGCTGGTAAGCTGGAGTGCTAGACCATGGACCTTACAGTGGGGTTTTAGAATGGACTGCCTTGTCTCCTTTTGTCATTACAGTTATATAAATCACATTTATCTTAACATGCCTGACTACTGTGTTCATTACTGAATATGTATTTTGGTAAGTTTTAGGTATTTATCCATTAGGGCTAGTCTACAAACGAACCTCGTATAGGTCTCTTTAAATTTTTTTTCAATTTAACATGTGCTTGTTAAGGTAGCTCTGATTATGGTTGAAACATCATTTGTGTGTTTGAGATAAGTGCCTCAGAGCCATTGGGGAATGATAGAGCAGTAACTGATAGTTTTGCCTCTGTAATAGGCCTTACAAGTGGGTATCTGCTCCCTATTGTCATATTCCAGGATATCAGCAGATAGCTTTGCTTGACAGTATCTTGTTATATTTGTAAGATACAGGCCTAACAGCTTTTCTGCATCCTTTGTTCTTTTGATGCGTAGCTTCAGCAATTAATATTTTTTCCCCTATAGTTCCATCTGACATTCCTATAAAAAGCATCTATTTTAATAATATGATGGAATAAATGGATGCCTCATCTTTAAAGCACTATAAATGACATTTTCATCTGCACACATTGCTGTTATTATTAACAGCCGTCCAAGGACTGGGCAATAAAAGACATGTTGCTAAAACAGTGTTCAGGCTTTTTGTCTTCAATTTTCACAGCCTTTTAAGAATGCATTCTGTTGGATTAACAAGCTCAAGGTGTATATATATATATATATATATAGATGAAGGTGTGTGTATATATATATTTATACATTTGAGGGGCACTTGAGTACATTACATTGTCATCTCTCTCAATGACTCCTTTTGTATACAAACCTCCTTATGTTTTGTATTAAGTCATTCCTGTGGGGTTTCAAGATGATCTTTTAAGGGCTGACATAATCAACAGATGCACTTTTAGCACAGGCATCATTCAGCAACTGTTGATGTCATTGGGAAGAGTTTGTGGAAGGTATTACTAATCTTGTATTAAATGAATCACCAAGAGATTTTGCTGCTTTCTTCAACTTCAAAATGAGATAAGAATGGAGGTGTTTCTCTATCATGGGCCTGTTTCATGAAACAAGAACACCCTTGTAGCATGTCATGGTCATCACTTCTGGTGTGAGGTTTTAACTTTCCACCCTTATCACTGTAACTTTTACCAGTGCTTTTTAAATGAGGTTGCCTTTGGCTTGCTTTGCACACATAAGCAAATTCCTTAATGGCAGTGATGGCTCAGAGGCAGAAACATCTGGCCATGTCCCAGGCAAGTTGGGCAGCTGCCCACGCAGTTCCAGCATCCCTGAAGCCATCACTGCTGCCATCAGCATTGCCCTGAGGAGAACTGCTCCACAAAGGGACAGCAGGGTTGGCCTTGCCTGCCCTGAGTTCATTAGAGTAGGGGGGTGTCAGTCAGGAATCATTACTGGAGTAGAAAAGCATCAAAAAAACGACAGAGGCAAACTCCTTACATAGCTGCTGCTTTAGGGGTTCCTCCAAAGTATCCAACGTCCATCCTATGATGGATTTCTTGATGAAACACTAGGGAAAGTTGTAGAAATAAATTGGTGTTAGAATCCATGCTGAAAAGGGGTCTAGGTTAAGATTTTATCTATAATTAAATATGCCCTTTTTGCATGCATATGCCAAATTCCCAATTTTAATGTAAATTTGTTTCAGGCAGGATAAAAGTATTTGCAATAAACTCGCTATTGCTACTGACAGCCCGGGGTGTTCTGTCGCTCATTGTGGATTGTTAGCACTCGCTGGCAGCAGACAATTGCCCTTTTATTTGAAGAAAAAAGAAAAGTCAATTTGGAATGATAAAAAAGGGAGAGCCCAAGGGAAGCCCCTGACAATAAAAGTTAACTGCAGATGAAAGTGGGGTGGCTCAGGCCTCGCTGCTGACGTGATGAGCTCTGTCGTGCGCTTTGCAAATCGCAGCAGGCACCCTGGTGGTCACAGACCGAGCTCCATCGGGGGCACGTTTCCATCACATAATAGGAGTGGGCTCTGCTAAAATCAGAGCCAGTGGCAGTGAGATGATGCTCAGTGTGCCGGGATCTGTTGGGTGCACACCCAGCTGGAGATGGCATCCTTGTGTGCTCTGTCTGACATGGCACTGCTGCCCTGCTCAGGGTGTGAGCACAAATCAGCTTGCCAAGCGCTGCCACCTTCATCTTCAGTGCTTTGATTTGTAAGAGCAGTATATTTCTATCTCCTGGCAACGTTTTTTAAGTATTAGCAAACTGGAAACGTTGCTAGGGTTTTAAAAGCTGGGAGCTCTTAGGCATTTGTCATCCCTGAATCATTTGAGTTTTTTTTAAGGGGAAAGGGTTTCTTTCTCCTGAGCACGAACCACACCTTGCTTTTCTGGTTGCATTATGGTTGCTGTCCTTGCAGGATTTACATTCAGTGCCCATTTCTTGCTCAGCCAAAGGGGTGCTGATGTGTTATTTCCTCCCATCAGGAGCTTTACGTGCTGCGTCTCTAACGTTTGCATCCCTTGCCAATCCAAGAGGAAAATGACTGAAGCCTGAGCCAGCTCCCACTGAAGTTGGTAGTGAAATGCCCACTGACTTCAGTGGGAGCTGGAGCAGGCTCCAAGAAAGAAATTGAATGTCACTGATCATTGGTAGCAGGCCAAGCTGCTGGTGTCCCAGTGGGTTGTTTTTCAATATTTCTTCTGCTGCGTGGTCTTTTCTTTTGTTTGTTGGTTCCAGGAGAGACTCAGAAAAATATAAACTGGACAGTCTCAGCCTTCTGCACAGGAGATGTGAGCAGTTTTCTTTGTGTAAGGGTCTGTATACACATGTATTTATAAAAGTTATGGCTCCTTATGTGTAAAAAAACAGCCCTTGGTTGTCTGTCTTTCAAGCCTGGAAGAATCCATTGTGCGGTTCTTAAAAGTTTGAAGGAAACCAGTCTGGTGAAATATTTGCACAGTACTATATATGCCTATATAGTACATAGGAACATGATCCAAATAAATATATGTACGTAGAAATGCAAGATATATATACACATCTATAAAATTTTAAAATATTGAAAAATTTGGATCTTGGGAGAAGGGGAAGCTGATGTTACTGAACTGATATTTAGTCTGAGTTAATCCCTTGACAGACAGTTCTGCCTATTGTCAGCTTATTATGTAGAAACATAAATTTGTTTTCTTCTTCCTCTTACTGACAGCCTTGAGTGAGCATCCCCCATCAGTAATTAGAGGATGCTCTATCTGCTGGGCTTGTCTGCTAAACAGGGTGAATTGCTGGAAGCCATGGGGATGTTTTACTTAAGATGTACCAGGAGTAACGAGGAGAGATTCTTCTGTCAGGCTTCCCTGTCTTTCATTCCAGCCTCCCTTATTTGAGCCCAAAGGATCTCATCTCTGAAGTCAATGACAGCGCTCCCTTTGATATGAGAGGTGGTTACATCAACCACTTCTTCTGTCACTGGAAGTAGGCAGGTCACGTTTAGCCTTGAAAATAAAATGAAAAGACCCCAGCCCTGTGTTAACAAGGCACAGCACACGTCTGGCAAACCCGTGTGTGCTCTAGAGCTCTCCATACGGAGTGGGGTGCCCTATGCCACCTGTAATGGAGCTGCTGTCATCTATTATGGATTATGACATGCAGGCAAATTGGAAAATAAAAACTGATGTGAGGTGGTAGAAACATGAATGAAAAGGCATTTCCTGCACATGCATTGTGGCTGTCATTTACCAGCAGAGCTGCTTCCCTGGCTGCGTTTGCTTTTTTGCTTTTTGCTTGCCTTGACCCAGCAGTCAGAGGAACTGATTGTTAGATGTAAATCAAAGATGCTCTTCAGTACTCTGTGTTTCAAGAGATAATAGTCTGGGTGCTTTGAATGTTTCTCTAACATGATTACAGCACACAGAAAAGCAGTTCTGTCTCTTACAAGCACATTTCCTTTGTTTTAAGACCATTCACTTATCATTTTTGTATTTGCTTATGTCTTATGGACACTGTTTCCTTATCCACCTCTGATGCTTTGTAAGGATTTAGCTGTGTACCAAGCTTCTTATGTAGTCCAGGTAAACAGGCTTTTGAGTGGCAAGAGGCAGAGTTGTAATTACACTAGAAATTCAATGCAGTTTGCATTCTCTTAGAGAAAGTGGGTGGGTTTGCTGTAAGAAGCAAACAAGCAAATGTGTTTTTACTTTGGAAAAAGCAAAGAAAGGAAAAGTGACATTTCTCTACAGATCCTTAAATGCTCTTAAGCAACCATCTGAATTTAGTAGCAGGCTATGGATATCATGTTTTGTATTCCCATTAGAAGCGGCTTAATGGGGAAAAA